TTCTTCACAGACAACAGAAAGAAAGGCTGGTGCTTACTGGCCTTTTGATTTCGGCTGGATACCAGTCAGAGTGCGTAGTATGTCCTCACTCGTTTTATCCTCCAGTGGGCTCATGAGGTGAATACAATGATGGTCCATATGTTATTACAGAAGAGGAAGCTAAGGCGGACGGCAGAACTAAAGGTCTTCGTGTTGTTGATGACAGCCCTCCCAGACCTGTTTCTTGGAGTCTCCTCTTAGAGTGTCCTCACTGACATCCTCCCCGATAGCGTACCGGACGCAAGGCAGTCTGGTCAACTGCTCAGCACAAGGACTGTTAGAACAGACCTGGCCCAGCCAGGGCGCCTACCTGGGAGCAGACAAAGCCCCGGACAAAGCAGAAGAAATTAAACACCCTGCTAAGGTGAAGCTGGGTGTGCTTGGAGGCACCACTGGCTGCCCCATCGCCAGCGCACAGATAAAAGACACAAGTAAGTGACGAGTAGAAAAACCAAGGCTGCCACAGGCAGTCCCCTGGCCCTCATATCCCAGGTGAAGGCTTTGGCCTGCAGCGGAGTCTAGCAGGGCATTGAAGGTCTGGTCCAGTGCAACAAGCAGCATGTGTATTTATTGAAGCTGCCCCTGCTTCGTTGAGGACTTGCAGACTTCATGAGTGGCTCTGGTGCTATGGGACAGACAAGACGCTGACTTGAGAGACCCAGATGGCTTTGCCTGGTGCGGTGAGTGAATTCCCTCATCCTGCTCCTGACAGCCAGCTCTGGAGGGAGGGACTCCTCCTGCCTTGCCCATTTTAGAGATCAGGAAATGAAAGTTGAGTCAGCCCCACCTCCAGGAGGCCTTTTTTGACTGTCCCAGCTGACTGTCTGCCAATCCTAAGATTGTCCGGCCCGCTCTGGAGCCCCCATAGTCACACCCTCAGGCACTGGCCGACCGCTTCGGTCTAGGCAGATCCAGGGTCATGACCGTAGAGCTATCTTAGTTTGTTGGACCACAAAAAGGATGGCTTGAATGAAAGATGTGCATTGTTCTTATAATAGGGAAGGCTAGAAGATCAAGGTCAAGATACTGGCGGGTTGCTCTCTCAAAGGCTTCGTCCCTGTGCAGTCAAATGACCAGCTTCTGCCTGTGAGTGTCTATCTGTCCTAATCTTCTCATAAAGAAACCGGTCACACTTGGATCGGGGATTACAATAAAACCCCCAGTTTTACTTCTTCTGCCTGGGGGTCAGTTAGCCAGTCCCCACCCTGGACGGAGCCCTGGGAGGCCTCTTTCCCAGCCATGACACAGCTCAATAACATCAATTTTAACTACAGAAGGCAAAGAGGAAAGAGTTGGCTAGCCCAGGTCTCCAATCGCCTGAATTGATTCATACGATTCCTTGAGTCTCTTCTTGGGGTCGCTCGAAGCCAGCGAGTTGTTCCTTGATTCTGCTGCCCCTGTCTTTGCATTTGGGCCAGTGGAAAGCCAAGTCAGAAGGCAATGATGTCCCCAGGCCAGCTCTGAAAGACATATTCCTGTTTTCTTTTCAGCTCAGAAGCCTGTTCTCCCAGACAGGGCTCCCTCATGGGCCACCACACACCAGCAAACCTCTCCCTCCCCAGCCCCAGCCCCTGTGGTCCCTCTAAGCAAACCAGGCTTCAATGCCTCCGTGTTTACACTCCAACCTGCGGCTTGGGCTGTTTGCTCTCAGCGGGCTGTGACCCTACCTCCCAGGATGCTACTGTGCATCAGTTGAATTTGCAGCTTCCTGTCTTCTCATATTTTCTCCTCTTCTCCATCTGTAAATGGCATTTCTCAGGGTAGGAGGGAGGCTCTGGACCACAGGTATGTTCCCTGTCTCTGCCGGCTCCAATCAAAGGTAGATGCCTGTGGTGTGCCGGCTCTGCTGGGCTTAGGAGAGGTCAGAGGAAAAGGCGCTCCCCCTCATCCCCCCCCACACACACACCCGCCATACTGTGTTGCCTGAGGACTCCTGCTTTGCCTAGCTCAGGACAGCAACACAATACAGCAGTTTTGAACTCCAAAGACCCAGGTTCAAATCCCACACGGTGGTTTATTAATGGCCGCTGACTATTCTCCTCTGGAGTGGGGGTGTGGAATGGAGATTGGGTGATAGGATACACCACATGAGGGTCGAGAGGACAAAGAAACAGCCCCCGCCCCTGCCACCCGGTGTGGTTGTTGTGGGGATGAAATGGTACAGCCTGAGAAGAGGTCTGGACCTGGTGAACCACCCAGTGTGCCAATGTCTTCCATACCACAGGGCCAGAGCCAGCAAGTCATCTGCTGCCACAGGTAGAGCACAAGGGAGTCTGGTCACGTGTGCTCACCCCTGCCACTCCCAGAACCACCCCGAACCTGAGACAGCTGACCAGGAAAGGGCAGGGAAGCCAGTGTGTTTCCATATCAACCACTTAGGCCTGAATTTCTGTTTTCCTGTATCACAACAACATGCTTCCGAATTTCATGGTGAAAAATAAGAGTGACTCTTACTTTTAAGAAGAAATACCAACAATTCCTTTTTCAGTGAAAACAAACGTTTTACCCAGACCCTGGGAACTTTCTATGGCAGGGATCTGAAACCGTTAACCGTGCCCAGAAAGTGCTAGTCTGCTCTTCCTCTACAGGAAAAGGGAGGAACTCACTTCAAGGTCGGCAGGAGGAAGATACTTTGGGTCTGACATAAGGCCAAGGAGGGGGTCCCGTCTGCATCCCACACCTCAAACAATCTCTTTGCTGGCGATGTGGTTTTATTTTCTGTAGACAGGCCTCACTCTGGCGTGGAGCCATGGACTCTCCAAGGAAGGAGCTCCGTCCGCCCCGCCTGAAGAGAAGCCAGGCCTGCTGTGGAGTCAGCAGGTGTGTGTGATAAAGCACACTGGATGCTGGGGAGAAAGCAGCACCCAGTCACCTAGACTTGCCGTAAATGAGAAAACCTACAGCAACTGAAAGGCCGGGGGTCCTGGCATGCCTGGATTCCGAAACACAAAGGTTCACAATCCGTGTGTGTCTCTTTCTCTCTCTTTATCTAGGTGTCTCTCAGTCTTTCAGATTCCTGGAGGTATCTATGCATGCGAGTGTTTTCTTTGAGCTTCTGAGTTTGAATTATCGCATGGGCTTCTATCAGGCTCCATCTGCTTCCAGAACTGTGTGCAAACACTTACATCCAAAGCCCAGAAAAAAACGGAGGAGGGACATAAAACATTTTTATTTGTTCTGACCAGAAAAGACATATGATCCAGAATGTGTGAAAGAAAGTCAGAAAAAGAAAGGGAAGCAGATTGTCAGTCCTGGTCATAGCCCACAAGGAGCCTCTCAAACCCAAACAAAGAGGCGCCTGGCTACACATAAACTGAGACCCAGCACGCAGTCCACACCCGACAATGCAGCCTGCTGAGCCACCTCCCTCGTACAGACCTGGGATGGAACCTTGGCTCTCCAGCTTGCTGCTTGTCTGGGCTTGAACAAACCACTTACCCGAGACTCGGTTCCCTCCATTATGACATAGGACTGCCACAAAAGGGCCTGGAACAGGGTGATGGCAAAGCAGGGGTGGGGGTGATGACGGTAGTGATGGTAACGCTGGTGGTGGAGGTGTTAGTAAAGATAAAAAATACTAAAGGCAGTGATGGTAGTGATGGCAAAGGGGGTGGGGGTGTGGAGATAATGGTGAAATTGGCGATGATAGTTATGAAGGTAATCGTGATAGTCGTAATTACGGTAGTGGAAGTTACAGTGGGGGAAGAGTGGGTGGAGATGATGGTGGTAGTGGTGGTGAAGGTAGGAGAGTAGATGGTGATGGAGATCGTGGTGGTTGTAAAGATGGTGGTGGTGGTAGTGTAGAGGTAATGGTGGTGATGTAGAGGTGGTGGTGGTGGTGATGTAGAGGTGATGGTGATGGTGGTGATGTAGAGGTAATGGTGATGGTGGTGATGTAGAGGTGGTGGTGGTGATGTAGAGGTGATGGTGGTGGTGGTGATGTAGAGGTGATGGTGGTGGTGGTGATGTAGAGGTGATGGTGGTGATGTAGAGGTAATGGTTGTGGTGGTGATGTAGAGGTAATGGTGATGGTGGTGATGTAGAGGTGATGGTGGTGGTGGTGGTGATCGTTTGGTAGAGGTGATGGTAGCCATGATAATGGTCATGGTGGTGATGATGGTACACAGACGACCATGATGGAGGTAGATGTGGAGACAATGGGAACAGTGAGGATGATGAAGGTAATGGTGATCACGGTACTGGTGGTAGTGGTGTACTGTGATGGCGGTCATGGCGGTTGGTGGTGGTGGTGACAGAGGTAATAATGGCAATGACGAAGGTGGTGGTGGAGGTGTGGATAAACGTGAGGATGCTGTAGGTGGTAACCGAGGCGGTGGTGGAGACAGCAGCAATGGCAGTGGTAATTAATGGTGGTGTTAGAGGCAGTGCTGGTGGTTAGATATGGTGGTGTAGATAGAGCAGCTGTTGGTGGTGGGGACAGTGGAGGAGACGGTTACCATGGTGCTGTTGGAAGTGGCAGAGACTGTATGGGCTTGCGAATTCCAGTACTTTCCATAGTTCTGTTACCCTTCAGGAAAACCAGACCTATCAGGGACAACATGTCTCTGCCTTTCAGAGACATTTCTCCTCAGGGGACTTCCAGAGTCACAGTTACACACCACAATCCCTTCAGCCTAAGTCAAATAGAATGCAGGTGTGATTATAACTCCCCAGCCAATCCAGCCCAGGCCACACCCAAAGCCAGGGAGTGTTGTGAGTGAAGACGTGCTCAGTCTTTCCTCTAGCTTAGTGGTTCTCAGCTTTCCTGATGACCCTTTAGCACAGCTCCTCATGTGGTGGTGACCCCAACCATAGAATTATTTCACTGATACTTCATAACTGTCATTTTGCGACTATTATGAATCGTAATGTAAATATCTGTGTTTTTCCGATGGTCTTAGGAAACCCCTTCTGGCCTCCCAAGTGCTCATAAGGGCCTTCCCCTTTCTCCCCTTCTCCCTTTCCCGCTGGAAACCTGTTGTCTTGGTGGCTCTCAGGCGAAAACAGCTGGAAAGAACACCAAAACACAGCCCTCACCCTAAGGCCTTCTCCTCGAGTGACCGTGATGACATCACCAAGGTTCAGAAAATCAACTAGAAACCGAGGTGAACCTCACAACGGTGAAAACAAATTGAAGTTAGCAGAATTTTGAGTCAAGAACTGAGTGGCAAGTTTTCAAATGTACTAAGATTTCTTTTTTTCGGTACATATTAATTGTACAAAGTAACGCTTTTTACTGTGACATTTTTTCACACGTGCATATAACACACTTTTGAAAGGTGAATTTTAACAGCATTAACTGAGAGCTCATTTCATCGTTAAGGTTCTGGAGGACAGAGCCATGAAGCTATTTTGCAGGAAACACGCTGTGTGGAGGTTTACGGTACAGAGGGACTGTGAGAGCGGCGTCCCATCACTGGCTCAAGTTGGGATCATTGACAGCAGTCAACTCCATCTCCTCACACCCCATCTCACGTCTGCAGACTGAACATTGATCTATGTAAAGGTGGAAAACTGGTTTTAACTGGTGAAGGGCTCTACAGACATGAGGGGTTGGTTTGTTTTACTCTCTGGTTCACTCAAACATCTTCTTTTGCTTTCTTGCTTTCTTTTCATATTTATCTATCTATCTATCTGTCTGTCTGTCTGTCTGTCTGTCTATCTATCTATTTATTTATTTAGGGAGTCCTGTATCTCAGGCTGCATTCAAACCTGCTGTGTAGCTAAGGATGACCTTGAGCTTCTGACCATCGTCTCTGTCCCCCTAACTGTTGGGATTATAGGTAGGTGCCACCACGCCTGGTTTACCCATAACTGGGAATTCATCCCCAGGCTCCATTCATTCCAGGCTAGCTTTCTCAGCTGAGCAACATCCCTGACCCTGAACATATTTATTAAAATAAACTTTCTTCATAGCAACGATATGGCTCCCATCGATCCTCGTGTGGCATCAGTGACCCTATCTCATTCGGTTTCCACTTTCCTGAGCCCCTAGGTTACAATAAGCTCTGTGATAATCTCTTTCGAAAGGGGGGTGGGAAAGGTGAACTCTGGCTTATGATATACACTGTCACCTGAAGGCTCTGGGGCCACAGACATTTGGCAGGGTGATTAGTGTGCATTTATCTTCCCGGGCTTGGCTGTCTCTTCTTGGGGAACTTTCCAACATCTCTTCTAATAATCCCATTCCCAGCAGCCTGCATGTCTCTATGGGACCGAGGGAAAGTGAACAGAAAAACACCCAAAAGATCAGCTGAGCAGCTGGAGAAGAGATCCTGACAGCATCACCCAGGGAGATGCCTGGCCGAGTCCCACAATTCAAGAGCTGTCTGCATTAGGCAATTGTGCAGCATCCCTGGCCTTTCCTCCTACCCACATTGTTCTCTTCCCAGCCTCCTGCCTGGCTGGTGACTTAGCCCGCCACTCCTGTTCCAGGAAACCTTCCTTCCCACCATCTGCCACTCCCCCACATGGTCCCAGAACAGCTCAGGCACAAGTCTCTGCACCTCTCTCTCCAGTTCTGGAATCACCAATTAAGTGTGCTCCACACTTTTCTGTGGACTTCGAGTTGGAGATATGCAGTCACAAGCCTAGACTTTGCTTCCACGCAACTCACATACTAGGTACTTTTCTAGACCCACTGATTGTGGTCTGCTATAGACTGAAGGCAATTAAGTATGTGAGCTGCGTGGAAGCAAAGCCTAGGCTTGTGACCATATCTCCAACCCCAAGGACATTAGGGTGGATTTATTTATTAGTGTCAAGAGCCCATTTAGACTCCATTCTCTCAGAGATCAGGTGCCAATTGCATCAATGGAGAAGTAGTCAAAATACAAGGGGGCATTTTACCTGGAGATTTTCAAATACAATTCCCAAAACAGAGATGACAAAATGCCAAGGCTGTCCAAGCCTTTCCAACCATCTGTGACTTTAAATGCCATGAGCATCAAAAAAGAATGTCTGCAGGATCAGGAGGTCGAGGAAGCAGTCTCCTTCAACTCACTAGTAATTCTGACAAGTGGGTGAGCTCCAGAGTCCTCCAAGATGATGGGGACATTTAAGCCTCTGTCCTGATTCTCTTGCTGCTCTTGAAAACACTGATTTGATTTCAGTATTAAGCATGGAAAAGTGTCCTTGATGTCTCAAGGCCAGAGTCCCTCTACATTCTACCATGCATCTGCCACTGTCACTGTTAGAATTTGGGCTGAAGTGGGAACCAAGAAATTCTCCCAGATCCCAGTCCCAGAGACCTGCTGATCCTCTTTCCATGTCGACAGCATCATGGCGTCAAATCCCACATCCTGGATGATTAGGTCAGTGGATCTGTGCCTTCTCACTCAGCAGCAGATGCCCCCCACTGACTGGAGGGGACAGGCCTTTTAGCCTGACAGTGTAGTGACGCAGCAGAGTTAGGGACTAGATTTGCCTTCAGTCCATAGCAGACCACAGTCACCGGGTCCAGAAAAGTACCTAAGCTGGGCTTACTTCAGCCTCCCAAATAACCTTTAGCCACTTGTTAGAGGCCCGCTGGATGCCAAACGAAGACTAAAAAGTCATTCCACACAAAGCTAAGCTCAGAGTGCTACCACTCCCAGCACATGCTGTCTTTTTGATACTGTTGGGCTGACTGGGGGTAGGGGTGTGAGAAGCTCCCAGGTATGTGTCCTAGACTACAGGGAGATGCTTTACATCACAGTGTCCTCAGGAGACATTGGTTCGTCGTGCTTTTTACCTCCAACCACAGTTCCCAGGCCAAGATGCAACCCTTAGGATCAAGGGGCAGAGCACCAAGTATACATATGTCAGCAGCCACTTACCTGGGGCCACGTGGTGTCTCCTGCCTGCAGACTGTCATGGACACAGCTGTGCGGGCTTTGCCTGTGACGGGGAAGATGGCTGTGTGAAAGGGTAGCATTGGCCCCTTTTGTCCCCTCTTTACATCTCCCTGTCCTCAGCAAGGAACTCGATGCAGGCTGCTGACTCTGCTGTGAGCGGCTGACATTTCTCCGGCACGCCATCTGTTCCTGCTCAAGGAGGGCTTTGGGACTAAAGGAAACGAATCAGAAGACACAGGTGGCTATAGGCAGAGTCTTCAGCTGTGATGCAGGGCGCGTGATGGGCTGCAAAGGGCGGAGGCCGAACGATGGCTTTCCTGCTCTTCACTGCAGATGCCCATGGGCTGCTCCAGCAGCACAGGCTCCCTTCTGCCCGCCGGCCCACTGTCTATCAGCTTCCCACTGCAGCCTCCGCCTTAACACACACGCATGCTGGACTAGACCCAAGGAGACGCCAGGCTGGCCCTTCGTGGCCTGTGCACTGGCCTGACCTCCTGCCTTCCTTCCTGCCTTTCCTCCTCTCTCCCCTCCTCTCCCCTTTCTTTCCCCTCCCTTCTCTTTTTCTTTCTCCCCTTTCCTGCCTTCTTCCTCCCTTTCCTCATCTCTCCTTCCCTTCCTTCTTTCTCTCCCACCCTCCTTCTTTCCCTTCCTCCATCGCTCTCTGTTTTTCCTTGCTCGTTTATACTATAGGACACAGTATATGTTTTACGTGTTAAGTGTTAACCCAATTGCTTGTTTGTGCCTAGCATCTCAGAGGCAGAGGTAGGTGGATCTTTGTGAGTTCAAGGCCAGCCTGGTCTATAAAGTAAATTCTAGGACAGCCAAAGGTGTTACACAGAGAAGCCTGTGTCAGGAAGGAAGAAAAAAGAAGACAGCATGCTTCCAAGACCAGCCTTCAGTGGGCACTTGGTTCTCCACAGGGCCTCACCCCAACTGCCAGAAAAGGATTAGGGTCTTACCCTGGTTCCCAGTGAATAAGCAGAGGTGTGGGTTCAACAGGTGAAGTTAGTGAGTGAATCTGCCTGCACCATTTCCTGTATCTATTCTAACCAAAAGCAAGTAAAGCCATGAACATGGCCTAGAATCCACGATAAGACAGACAATAGCAGGCCAGCACCAGCCCTGAGATTCCTGGGCCAGCCTCGGAACCTACCAGACTTGAAGTCAGATCCTACCTGCTGCTTTTTGGCTGGGTGTGGTTGGACAGGCCATTTAATCTCTAAGCACTCAGTTTCTTTAACAGTACAATCGAGAAAGAAGTTCGTGATATTACCCTCCCAGGGCTGCTGAATGATTAAAGGATGCAATTGCTGTAAGACATTTCAGATAATGCCATGAACAGAGGAAGCATCCCCCAACAAAGGACAGCCATCATTATCAGTGTCATGATCATCACGGCTATTCAGCTACATCAAAAGGATGAATCAGCCAAAGTAGAAACTGTGACCATTGCGCTGTCCTGCCTAGAAGACCCAGGCTAGCTTCTGAGAACAGACTTGCCAAGAAGGGCCAAATTAGCAGATCTTACAGTGTCTCCATCACCCTTGTAACAAGAAGTACCATGGATGGTCTACTGTAAGGGTCTGGGTTGTGGCAGTTGTTGTCTCCTATATCTCCCAGAATGGAAAACAATAGCAGTTACCCAAAAATGCCATAACCACTGCATCTTCCATGATGTCACTGACATCCTAGGGGTTGGCATTGCTATTTGTGTTGCTTATTTATTTCTCCATCGCTTTTCTGGGAAAAATTGATTCTCTCATCAGCATCTAGCTGCCTGTGACCTCGAGCCTTTGGAAGGCATCTTAGTTAGGGTTTCTATTGCTGTGAAGAGACACCAGGCCCACGGCAACTCCTACAAAGGAAAACATTTAGTTGGGGCTGGCTTACAGTTCAGAGGCTTAGCCCATTATCGCCGTGGCAGGGGCATTGCAGGAAGACATGGTACTGGAGAAGGAGCTGAGGGTTCTACATCTTGATCCTCCGCCAACAGGAAGCGACTGCCCACTCGGCCTAGGTTGAGCCTATGAGACCTCAAAGCCCTCCTCCATAGTGACACACTTCCTCCAACAAAGCCACGCCTACTCCAACAAGGCCACATCTAATAGTGCCACTCCCTATGGGCCTATGGGGGGAGGGTGCATTTTATTCAGATCATCACAGAAGGTCACCAAGAGGCATCATCTTCCTAGCAACAGTTGCCAAGGGAGATTTTAAGGGCAGACCCAAGTGGAGGGATGGGATGAAGATCTAGAGGGATAAATACCACGTCTGTGTGGAGGTGCCAGGGGAGGAAGGCTTGTCACCACAAGGGTGTGGGGAACCTTCTCCAGGGAGTGTGCCGTCTCTTCTCTTATTAGATGCTCTGGTGGCCTTTCTGTTGAGTTTGATGTTATTTCACTTTTCTAAAATGTAAGTGCTGGGAATTAATTATTCAGTCCCAAGTTTCTTAGTCCTGTCAGATCCAGCTGGATAGGAAATTCTTTATCAAAAACAGCCCCTTGGCTAGTCTTAAATGAAACTACAGGCAGACAACCTAAGTGAGTATTTTTAAATAACGCAGTGCCCTGTGATGGAGATGAGAAATGAGGTCATTGACAGCAAAAGAAGATGAATTTCCAATATGTTAATGCCTGTGAACAAATCCCCCTGGAAAACACAGTGTGTGAATCAGATGCATGCACCTGCTTGTATTGTCCACATTCACCCTGGCTGGTTGACATTTGAGCGGAACAGCTAACGGAGCACGTTAATGATAGGTGTAGGATCACAAGAATTCAATGCCCACAGGTGCAGAATAAGAGAGCAGCACATTGGCATCTCAGACGCCGGGAATGGCATTGTCATCGATCATGTGGTTTGTCAAAAGGTATAATGACTCAGAAAAGTTGCAAGCACATGGAACATACTTCTTCCATTTGTGTAGTACCTATTTGCCTAGAAAACGCAGGGCTGATAAAGTCAATAATTTTCATATTAAATAAAATAGTGTCTTCTACCCTGTTACAGTTTGAATGTGAAATTGTCCTCCACAGGCCCATGGGTTAGCCATTCTGACCCCAGGTGGTGATGTTATTTTGGGAGATGTTCAAATGTTAGAGTTGGTCCCAGCTGGAGAATGTAGGTCAGTCATTCAGGCATAGCCTTGTAGGCTAGCCCCTGCCCCAGCTCCCGCCCTAGCTCCCGACGCCCTCTCTGCATCCTGTCCACCATCATGGAAACAGGCTTCTTCTGCCATGAGTGCCCTCCATGATACTTCGGCCTTACCATGGCCCTAAAAGCAATGAATCCAGCCAAGCATGGAGTGAAACCCACCTGAGCAGGAACCAGGAAGCAGAAGAAAACCTGCTTCCTTTTAACTGTCTCCCTCAGGCATTGGGTTACAGGAACCAAAAAGCTAACACAGGCCCAGATGGTTAGAAACGATTTAACACACTTGAAAAACTAGAAGAAAAATGTTGGTCCAGGATGCCTTGTCACAACTCTCTGATCTCCCTCCCACAAGATCTGTTAGGGTCCCATCTTATCCTCTGACCATCAAAAATACCCTCACATGGTTCAGGGGGACCCTACCCCTCACTGCTGACAGATTGGCTACTGACAGGTTCAGAGAGGAGGGAGTATTGCCTTTGGTTGTCTACCCATGTGATAACCCCACCAGACCCCAATGGGTAGTTCCAATCCCGTGGTCACATGGAGGGGCCTGATTCAACTAAATGGATCACAAAAAAACACCCCAAAGTCAAGGATCTGGGAAAGGGCATGGTAGGGATTAGGGAAGAGTTGATAGGGAGGAGAGGGGCATAAAAGGGAGGAAGAAGAAAGAGTTATCACAATACATTATATAGAGTATGAAATCGTCAAAGAACAATAATATAGTTAAATGTGCACCAACTCTTTAGAAAAAAATGTCCCCGCAGATTTTCTAAATATTTTGCATGAGTTTTCTGGTCTAGTCCAGTGCTTCCTTCATAAGGTGAAGAAATAGGTTCAGGAAGAAAGCATGTTTTAATCAAGGAATGATAAAACGAAAACCAGCATCTCAGCCAGGCAGTGGTTGATAGAATTCTTGGCTGCTCCCCCAGCTACATGGCTGCACATGCGCTGTCTAGTAGCCAAGCAAGAAAGAGGCTTAGTTATTCCAGGGCCTTACGTCCTACCTTGCACTGCATGATCACATAATGTGTATGTAGCGTGGTCACATAATGCATGTGTGTCACATAATCTATGTGTGGTGTAGCTACATAAGCCCATATGCTCATTGCGGGGATGGGGGGGGGACACTATAAAAAGTGAGTTCCATCTTATCCCTTTTCTCTCTCCCTGCATAATCATTTTTCATAGGCCTAAGCACCCCCTTCTGTCTCCTGCCCCTAATAAACTCTCATAGTGGGTTTTGTGGTACCCTGTGGCTTTTCTCACACAGTAAACAGCGCCACTTAATGACTAACACAGCACCACCTAATAACTAACAATGGTGGCACTTGCATTAGGGAGGCAGAGGCAGGTGGATCTCTGAGTTGAGGCCAGCCTGGTCTACGGAGCAAGTTTCAGGACAGCTTGGGCTACACAGAGAAATCCCATCTCAAAAAAAGTAAAGAAAAGAAAAGAAAAAGAACAAACAAAATAAATTTTTAAAAAAAAAGAAGAAAAGAAAAGATAAAAGCAAATCAGCGTCTTCCAGCACCAGGTCAGGGGCTTCACTGAACTCCAGGAACGATCCCTCCCTCCCTGGATGTACAACATCCAGAGTCTTACTTGTGAACACCAGTTCTTTCCGCTCATGGACTAAATGGAGAGTTTTTGAAGGTCTGCTTTGGGCAGGAAGGCATTGATCTTTGAAAAACAGTATGACTTCCCTGCCTACATGCTTATCTCACTTGGGGGTAGGAGTTCAATACTGCAGGCTATTAACACCTGGCCCAGGGGCCGATAGAATCAAAACCAGGCAGGAAGCCACTAGGAAGGACTTCACTCAGCTACACACAAAGGAACAATTTTAAAGACAAGGGTTTCACCACCTTATTTGCTTATTTAAAAAAAAATTACACTTGCATTTATTAATTTTGTATCTGTGTATGTGTACGTGTGCACACATGTGGGAGAGTCTGTGTGGAGGTCAGAGGGCAACCCACAGAAAGACATTAGTTCTCTTCTTTACACCATGTGAGTCCAGGGACGTATCTTAGGTTTTAACAGTGAAGTAGAAGGGTTTTGGTGAAGAAATTTTGTGCCTATGAGAGATAATTTAATATTCACTAAACAACTTTGGGTCTTTAACCCTATATGACCCTTGGAAATAGGGGCTAAATATATCTACTTGTACATGGTCATGGGACTATTGAGCGTGCAATAATTTCAGCCACAAAGCTGGGCAGCTATGTGTATAAGCAACTGAGGTGCTTGCTGAGAGGTATCGCTGAAGATGACAGGATCGTCCCAAATAAAGTGTGGTGCTGCAAACGTTTTTTTAATTAATTTAGTTATTTTCATGTATGTTTGAGATGCATGTCATCACATGTGTGGAGGTCAGAGGACAACTTGCAGGAATCCGTTCTCTACCACTCTGTGGGTCTTAGGGATCCGACTCAGGTCCTTAGACTTGGAAGCAAGCTAAGGCTCCTTTACCTGCTGAAACATCTCACCAAACCCTGGGGGACTTTTAAACCAGCAAAGGACCATTCCTCAGAGCAGTTGCATTCTTGGAAAAAGAAATCCACATAAAAACAATGACTTGCTTGGAGTTAGGGTTTTCAACTCCAACAGTATACAGAGATTTCCTCCTGGTCCCCCGGCCCTACATGCCCGGTAATATGTCTATAGATGCATTTGGGAGGTCATGCAGGAAATAGGACACTTGGTTACTGTGGTGGCGCGGGGGTGGGGGGGTGGGGGTGGGGGGGAGGGTCTCTGCATTGAGACAGCTGACATCTTCATCTCCTGGCTACTAAGTGTCATGTCCCTCACGCCCTGCTGTCATTGCAGCAGTGACAATGCCCACGATGTGCACCCCTTTCAGTGGGATGGAGAGCAGTTGTTCTGGATGTGCACACGGAGCATCTAGACAACAGGACCAACTATGGGTATTTTTATTTCCACCAGCGTATCCGCTGAGATGTGTCAGGCTACAAGCAAAGGGAGTTCCTTGAGAGCTGAGTTTCACGATAAGGAAATGCACCGGGACATATAGCTGAGGAAGCTGAGAGGAACAGTGTACAGTTGTACCCCTCATTCCTGGGATGTTTCCCCAAAAAACCTCGGGAGATGCCAAGGTTCCAAATCTTACACAGGCTATATTTTCCTATAAACAAAATTCAGTTTAGAAGCGAAAGGGTTACGAGAGGATTACTGTTTCAGAAGTCATGTGCCTGTGTTCTCTCTCTCAATGTCCGTGTGCACGGTGTGGCGGGGTGTGTGCATTTTCTCATCTGTGCACTTGGGTGCACGTACACGCCGGAAGTTGACACTGAGTGTCTTCCTTGTTCACGCTCCACTTTATTTACTGAGGCAGCATCTCTCACTGAATCCGGAGTTTGCCAGTCCTGGCGACTTTCTCTAGCCAGCTCCCGCTAAACCTGTGTCTGCCTCCTGAGAGTGGAGATTACAGGCAGTGGGCACACCCGCCTGGCTTTTATGTGGGTTCTGGGGACCTGAACTCCAGTTCGTTGTGTGCGCTGCAGGCACTCCATCCGTGGAGCCATCCTCCAGCCCGCTCCAGATCCTACTCTACCGGGCCTACCTTTCCTGTGAAGATGAGGGTTGATAATTATAGAAGCACTCGTCAAGTGATCTTGGATATATTCACAGGGCAGCATCACTATTCTCGTGCTTTGAGTCTGTTACTAAGTAGAATAAGGGTGACTTCAATATAAACGCTGAATGCCACAGTCAACTTTTAAATTTTTTAATTGTTTTGAAAATTTTACACGATTACTATAGTTACACCATTTCTACTTCTCCCTCTCCCCCATCCAGCTCTTCCTGTGTCTCCCCTCCCTCTCAAATTCATGACTCCTTCAATTATTACTGTTTTACAACCTACACACACACACACACACA